ATGTTTAAAGATGTTTGGCATTAAAGGATAATTAGAGATATAGTCCTTGTCAGAAAGGGGAGATCGATTAAAATTTTAACAAGTTATCAAGATACGTATGTTATTTGTACGCTCATCTATTGCATAATACGCGGCATTATGCATAAAAAATTGACGCGAGAGACAAATGATAGACAGATAATGCGTGATTTAGAATCTTATTATTTACAATTTATTCGATATTTGATTAGATATTTGCCATTTTGTGGAATATTTATCGAGTTCGAATACGATTACATTCTGACTTGGATATCTAGGAGGAAAATAAATAGTCGATCTGTTTCTTATAGTTTCACTCACACGGATTTGTGTGTATTGCCGTAAGTTATCGCGTCATATATTTTAGTTTGTGATTCACTAAGCGCATCGCGCAAACATCCGCGAGTTGTCATCAAAAAATCACTTGATTAATGAGTCCGTCGTCGGCGAGAGGCCGTCGAAGGCTGTGCACGTGTAGCCTCTAACGCTCGATCACGCATGCAATGTTTAAAAAAAAACCTCGTCCATGAAGACACGTGCAATTTCCGGGGGAGGGGAGGGGAGGGTGGGGGCAATAAGGAGTTTCAAATCGACGATACATTTTGGCGTCCATATTTCGTCGTTTGCGTGCCAAAGGCACGAGTGAATTGCAACATGTAATTATTAGCCAAGCTAAGGATGTCGAAATGTGTATTTACCAATATTGGCCGAAGAAACATTGACTCTTGTGCTAAGTGTGTCCTTCTTCTCCTTCTCGTGTGATTATTACTCACCGTTGCGGCCGGAAGAGTTGGCATTGGCTGCGACACCGGCTCCAGACCGACTCTCATGCGTTTCGCGTTGTCGCTCTCGTTTTCGCAGGCTGTTGCCAGAATCTGCTCCGCCTGCACGGAGGTCAAGTGTGCTGGCGTGGGCCTGGCCTAAAAAGAAATACGTACGTCACACCCGCGATCGTCGCATACCGAACTTTGACTCACGCCGCGAGAATGTTTGAGCTTCCACGAGCAAAACATTGCGACGGATATTTTGAGATTTGCTTTAATCAACGAAGGAGCAAATCTTGAGAAATTCAAACGCGATTTCGAACATCGCGTAATTGTAATTTCAAGTTTAATGTCGTGTGAAAATTAGAAAAAAAGAATTTAGAAGTTAATCGGCTCGCTACCTTAGGAAACAAACACGATAGAAAACTTACGGCGTCCCAAGGGCCCTCCCTGCCGCGTTTGTTTCTCCGACAGCTCTTCAGGTACGTTCGGATCCTCTTTCTGGCTCTCTCGGCGAACTCGGGAAACTGTCTCGTGCAACTGTCAATGATGGCCTGTATCTTCTCCTTCGGCTGCTTCGAGATCGGCACGATGCGATCCAGGTTCTCGTCGACGAACAGCCTCACAAACATCTGTCGTGGGACACAACGCAACGGCCGCATTAGTGGAGTGAATTAAGCGGGAGTTGGTACGCGAGTCTCGCTAACCGCTCAAGGAATTAAGAATTTAGTGGCGGTAGGGGCGTAACACCGGGGCTCTATTAAACTAATTGTAATTAATTAAGGAGCCAGCGCAACAGCGACAGCCGCCGCGAAACTATGACGTTTGACTTTCTCGCGCGCGGGGAAACGAGTGGAAAAAAAAGAGGTTATATGAAAAACGAAAAATGAGGGAGAAAAACTCGGAGAGAAACGGCATGCGCTGATTCCCCTGCAAGCCGTCTCTCCGGCTGCACCGCTCATAAAACTTTACGATAATTAAGGTTTTTCGGGAAGGTCCAACGCGCCGCCAATATGCTGACGGCCTTAACTTTTCCGTCCATTGCCGTTCTCTTCTCCCCTTGCACAACTTTTCTTCATTTGAGGCATGAATGGCGTTTTTCTTGCAACGAAAATTGCATAAAATGTCTGATGAGATAATGCAACCGCACGACTCCGCAGTTCGTTCGCCGCTTCGCATTTCGGTTCACCGAGTTCGCACAATAATTGTCGCTAATTATTTTTTAAATTGTTTACTTGAGATATTTCGAGGCGTGCTTCCGAAGTTTAAACAGGCAATTTTTTAACTTAATTTCATTCAACGAGTTGTATATAGAATTTAATCGCGTGCGCTTACGTTGAACGCTTTAAGACGTTCCGGATCGTGATGTCTCGGATCCAGTCCCTCGTCCGCGTCTATATCATCATCGTCCTCATCTTCCTTGTTGCCACTACTACTGGTCTCGTCGTGGGCGCTTCCCGTCCCCTCGCCCCCGGGCGGACTGGACTCTCGATCGCGATCCGATCGCGAGGGCGTTCCCGACGATGCCGGCGGTGGCGTTTTCTTGAAACCCATGGCGTAGGACGCCCATAGGGAAGCCATGTCTTCGCCGCCGACACTCGCCACACCGCTCAGATTTGGAACGGTTCCTGCTGGCATGTCCACCAGTTCCGAGGTGCCGTTTCGCGAATCTGCAGAAGTCAAGTTTTACGAATGATTTAGCACACACTCTGAAACCTGAATCCTAGATTTTTGTAATTCCTCTCGTCAATGAGACACGTATTGATATAAGCATAATTAACGTTTTAATAACGGTAATGATAATAATTAATTATTATTATTTAAATATCATTTATTGAAATGGACATTATTAGTATTATTAGCATCAATAATGATCGTAATATGAACAATGGTATTTTTAATAATTACTACTAATTAATAACGCAAATTTGGTGATAGAAACACTTTGCATTCGCGATCGGTAATTATCTGGTAAAAGGGGAACCTTCCATCGGCAGTGCCAGGAAAATAATAACGTTCTCGTTGAATGCCGTGCCGCGATGATTAGATCGCCGCTTCGCGCTGTTTCGATTTATGAATAGAGAACGTTGCAGTTGGAACAAAAGAAGGGAATACTTTTTTCTCTTCCCACGCCGTGGCCAAGCGAGTGTATGATTAACTAGGAACATAACTAGCAAGAAAGAGAGAGAGAGAGAGAGGAGGAGAGGAGGGCACGGTGGGT